CGTTTTTAATAGGCCATGATGATGTTTGTGAAATTGAAGCCGTGTGTTTTGTTGATTTTTTTTTTTTTGTTAAAGCCGTGTGTTTTGTTGATTCGAACAACTTGTTGATTTTTGTATTAATTCAACAAATTGTCCTGAATACGACCAATTTTAGATAACCAATAATCAAATATACAAAATTTACGTAATGAAATCAAATTCAACAAATTCTCACAACTTGAAAAAGAAATCAAATTCTCACACATGACATAGCTGAAACTTATGATTACTCCAAGCATATGGAGAACAGTGTCGTTTTGCTGTATTGATTAAGCGAGAGGACTTTTGATGGATTCCGTAAACTACTACAGCAGCTATCAATTCAATATGAGCATTTGTACTGAAAAATCAATTACTGTAGCTATCCATTCAAAACATTATATAGATTGACAAAAAAAGAGTAAAATATAAGCAAAATATAAGTAAAATATAAGCAAAAAGTAAACAAATTAGCATCTAAAAATCATAGGTATATTGGTTATCATTCTTTGTAGTATCACTCTTTCTTGCTAATCAACCCTATTAACTTTTTTATTTCACCTACGTTCTACAAAATCAGTAGCCATAACTTACTTGATTACATGACTCACATGTTACAAACAGTAAGTTGAATTCTCATTTTTCTTAATCATAAGTTTCTTTTTCATTATGCAACTGGCCCACAATTATTAAATGAATTATTTTATGATATTTCTCAAATATGTGGATTGTGGCTATATAATCTTCTTCTCTCAGACTCACACGATCATCGAACTACTACAAGACAATTTCTTTTCTCTAATTCATCTCTAGAAATTAATCTGAAGATTTGTGTTAACGTTGTTTGTGTTCTCATGCTCATCCTCTCGACAGGCATGGCTCAATCGCCCCCTCCGTGCACCGAAGCGGCGTGCGACTTCTTGTTGAATGAAGAAAATAATAAAAAAAATTATTGTGCCAAAGACCAACACGCATGTCTAATCCGATCACTGATGTACATATTCTCTCAACCCTAATTATCAAAAAAGAAAAATAACATTTTAATCGGGAAAAGACGGTTACTTCCTTCTCAAGCATCCGTTGTTGCTAACTTTGATAATCTTCTCGACGATGACAAAACTCTGTCCTCCTCATTAAAAACACGCTTGAAAAGCTAAAAACATGTAACTTCTGTGTTATTTTTTGAAAAAAAATGAGTATTTTAAGTTAATGAGAAAACGAACCTAATGAAAATTGAAATACAAATATCTATAAAAAAATCCAAATAAAAACATTATGCTAACTAAAATCTGCATGCAGCCTTCAGATTCCTCTATTTGAGAGCTATTCGCGTGGCCTGGGAGAAGCAAACGGCATAAGCAAATCCGGATCGAGAAATGACGCCGTAGTGTCAATCAGAGCCCCGTCGGTTACTTCAGGCAAATTCGGACCATTCAGTGTTATCAACAATTTCGAAAAATTATGAAACGACCATCCTCCTTGATGATCTTCTTCATCTTCTGATCCAGCATGTTTGATCTTCTTCAGCTTCTTCTTCTTCTTCAGCTTTTTCTTCTCATCATGTTCCTCATCATCACACCCACAAAGGTTTGGAACATTAAAGTTAAGTCGGTTATCCTCTTCCGATCCCAAATTCTCAAATCTTTCTAAACCCTTCTCCTCTGTCTCTCTCTCTTTTACTGTAGCAGTTTCATCATCAGTCAGACAAGAAGTTTTCATCTCTTGATCGCTATTTGCTGATCCTGTGAGGGGAGTCTCCGGATCATGACGATGAACTTCACTGATAGATAGCTGCTGCTGTTCCAAGGAAGAAGACTCAAGACGCTGATGGTAATTGATAGTTTCAGGATGATCCTCCTCGTTCTTGGACTTGTCATTCTCTTGGATTTGGCTGGAGATCACTTGATCATTCTTTTCTGATCCTATGCTCGGAGTCTCCTGACCCTGACTATGAGCTTCATTGATGAGCTGGTTCTCCGAAGAGGAAGCTGGACCAAATTCTTGATGATGAGAAATAGGGTTTTCATGATCGTCCTTCTCGTTTTCTTCAAACTTGCAGTTGATATTGTTCGGCTGCTGCTCCAAAGAAGAAGTGAGAGCATAGTAGTCATGATTACTGGTCGGCTGCTGCTCCGAAGAAGAAGTGAGACCATAGTACTCATGATAATTGGTCGGCTTCTGCTCCGAAGAAGAGCCGAGGGAATAGTACGCATGATGATTGGTCGGCTGGTGCTTCGAAGAAGAACCGATAGAATAGTACGCATGATGATTGGTCGGCTGCTGCTCCGAAGAAGAAGCCAGAGAAGAGTACTCATGATGAATGATCGGTTGCTTCTCCGAAGAAGAAGCACAACCATAATACTTTTGATGATTGATAGGCTGCTGCTCCGAAGGAGAAGACACAAGATAAAGACGACGATGATGATAATGGTAATAAGTAGACATAGAATCAGAAGCTTCATCATGATCGTCCTTGGACTTCTTGATCTCGTGGATCTTGCACAGGACTGTTCCTTGAAACTTATCTTCTTCCACAAGCATATACTCTGTCATAGTCCAGCTGCTCTCGCTGCCGGGAACAGTAGCACTAGTGCCGTCTTCTATCTTCTGCTTCTTCTTGTTGTTGTTGTTGTTGTTGTTGTTGCTTTTAATGAAAGTTAGGGTTTGCTTTTCACCAATGATTTTCCCTGTCTCCTCGTCCAGGATCTTTTCTTTCGCGTTTGCCTTCCACGTCCCGTTGTCTCCGATGATCTTCCGCTTCGCCTTCTTACCACGACCGATGTTATTCTCAGACTCAGAGACTTGAGTCCTTGTCACGAAGTAGTACCACTCGTACTTCTTGAAAAAAGGAGATATGTAATGCTCAAGCAACCATGGTTCTGTGGCGTAAACGTCCATCTCCCCTATAAAGTTAAACTGTTTGACTTGGTTTATCTTGGGAGTAAGATAATCTTTGATGAGCTGGTTCTCCGTCGGATCAAAGTGAATCCCTTCGTCTTCGTCGTAGTATTCTGCCATCTTTTCGTTTTTCCTCAGCTTACAAAACCTTGGCGATGGTTTAGGTTTTGTATGAGAAACTTTTTGGGAACAGTGTGTCTCGGAGGCTTTGTGAATTTATACATAGACAAGGAACACATCTCCCATCAGGAATAGGACTGTTATTTCTTTTTTTTTTTTTTTTTTTTTTTTAGGACTGTTATTTCACTAAAATAAAAAAAAAGAAGATCATTATCTTTGAAAATAATAAAATATAGTGTGAATCTTGTTATTAGCGACATCAAATCCAGATTATATTACATTATTAATATAGATATATATATATATTATCTGATCATTGTTTTCCTCATTAAAGATAACTAAAATAAAATCGCTTATGAGGCCATATCTACATGGACTGTCCACGGAGGTGATTGATCGGGGATTTGGAGATTCTGAAGAGTTAGGATTTAGATCTCGGAAAATTTATAGTACAAAACTACAAATCTTGTAAATGTATAAATATAGTAGGATGGTACGTACTGGAACAGTTCCACTAAATGGCTTTAAATATGTTTTAGTAAGGTAAATGATTATCAACTTGTTTTCATGTGCAAAAATTACATTTATGTACGTTATTTGTTTTTTTTTTCTTTTTTTTTTTTTAACAAACGTACGTTATTTGTTGACTTTAAACAGAAAAAAAACCCTGTCTTACTCTAAATAACACATTAATATTTAATATAAACAACATGAGACATAGCATCAAATAAACTATAATTATCTAGCTACCTGATTAAGTCCCCAAGTATTCTATGTATATGTATGTTTTTGTACGAAGAAAATAAAATGGCAAAAGGAATTATATAATAAGAGTAGAAGAATAAAAGATAAAGAAGGATTGAAGAGATGAGTCCAAAAGATTGGTAAAACACAAATGCTTAACAACAGAGTTGATTTTGGGGACACCACACATCACTTTGTCTCTGTACCTATTCATGTCCTACACCTTTGGACACACCCTTTCTCTTACTACACCTTCAAAAACATAAGTTACACAAAGAGAAAAACGTTAGTACAAAAGAATCTATATAATAATGTGAGATCTTGATTTGACAAAACTGTCGGTTGGAAACTTAGAGCTCTTCAATGGCGCTTCCGCGCGCTTTTGCTTTTCAGTGTACGAATTGATAGATCCAAGAAGTGAGAATAATTTACTCTCATGTCAAACTTATTGATAAACCGGTGAGTAAGTTCGAAGTTGCGTAGTTAAGGTCTCAATTAAACTAGTAAGTGACCTAGTGACGAAGATAAACTTTGACTTCTAAATTTAAAGAAAAGATACTTAACTTTTTAAGCAATCATCTTGCAAGAACTAGACTTAGTTAGCACCATCATCCCTATAAAAAACAAGGGAGACACATAGAAAAGATATATACACAAGCAACACGACTGAAAGCAATCATCTAAACAAGAAATGTAGCAAATGACGTTCAAGATTATAAGCGACTTACCTTTTCACAGCTTGCGCAATTCATCATTGATCATGATCTTTATTTTTCACAACAATGATCTGATTTACAAAAGATTAATGAATATATTTGACAAGGCGTCTTTTTTAGACTCTTCAAACGAATGAAAAGAAATTCATTCGATCTTTTCATTCGATAACTAAGCTAAAGTTACTTTCTCGCCAACCAACAAACAGATGGAGGAAATTTTTTTGGTTTTTTTAAGTCATGCATTTCTCATTTATACTTGATAACATTTTCGATCAAAATCGTTTTGTCGTGTTTCCAAAATGGAGTTTATATGATATGCAAGAACAAACTACACAACAAATGGCTAGATGTCGAAACATAAAACAAGGAAGAAAATCCCACCCCGCAATTATATGTTTCATTATTTAATAATAGAGTTTGATACTTGTCACATCAAAACCCTTTTCCTCATTGGCCTCTTCCCCTAAAAATCTTCAGTTGAATGCTCTATTTATATATGCCAACCTTTGAACCTTAATTTCATATCACTCTTCTTCTTCTTCATATATTAGAAAGAGAGAAAATGTTGCCAGGCATACTGTTATGCTCACTTAATCCCAAGAACCACAGGTGAATATTCATTTTTCTTTCCCTCGGAATAAATATGTTTTGTGGTTTCAATTCAGTAATCAGTATGATAGTTTAAAAGTGTATTTCTTAAATCGGGTTTCATGATAGGTTTGGATTTATCGATATATTTTGATATATCCTTAGTATATAGTATATGTAAAAAGGGATAATGATTTTCTTTGTGAACATGATTAAGACAAATTCTATGACATGATCTTTACGGAATCACTTCCTCGACCAATCAAACCAGAGATTAACAAAAAAGTACAAAAAAACAATTACCAAATGACTACTTTATTACACTTTGTCTTTTTAAAAGACAATACAAAAACAAAGTTTTTTTCTTTTTAAGAATGAAATGTGTTAAACGATGAAAAAACGGATGGAGAGTATATTCATTGCATTTTACGAACTCTATGTTGAATTTTTTTCATAGTACTAGTATAAATTTAACGTTCTGTTTTTTTCCTCATACTATTAATTAACGTTGGATTGTAAACCAAAACATTGGCTAGTTAGGGAGAAACTGAAAAATATTGACTTATAAAAAGAGGAGCATGTGCGACCATGAAAATAAATAAGAAAGTTATGGAAAGACCCAAAACTTTTCCCGAGGGCCCATAATTGAGATAAGGTTTTACAAGTCAATCAGGGGTCAAAACGTAAGAGAACTAAAAGGGGGTATTTCCGTAATTGTGTATCAATTCCTATTGCCTCTTCTTCTCTCCAGTCTCCACTGCTCTGAGTCTGACTGAGAGATTATAATAGAAACATTAATCAGAAATCTCCAGTTATTTCGGTCGTCGGCCGGCGACAGTAATTATTCCGGTGGTATTGACTGTCGGAGACGGTTTACTTCACTGTGCAGTAAGAAGAAGAAGAGTGACCGAGAGAGCTTAGATACTGAGCCTAAGGACATTGACTACTGGTACTCAGTTCAGTTCAATCGAGATCCTCCGAGATTTGCTCTTCGATCGGAGAACAACAATCGTCACTCCCACAGGTAAGCTTCCGTGACTTTTCCGTCCATAGATTCCGGAGGTTTGATTTCTTGTTTCCCACCATTTCTGATATTTGACTCCGTTTGCAGTAAGAGCGGCGAATTCTCCAAGACGAAGAAGCGAGGAGAAATGTCGAACAAGGTTTCAAACTTCTCGGATCTGATTCAGCGAGTGACGGCGTCTTGCTTGTTGCATCCACTCTCCGCCGGCCGGCAAGATCTCGCCGGAAACCGCCGGGGAGAGTACGACACTGAGGAAGAGGACGAGGAGGTGGAGGAAGGGGAAGGAGAGATTCAGTACGAAGACGCATTGGAGAAGGAAAACGGTAAAGACGAGACGGTTAGGGCTAAGAGCGGAAGAGGGAACGGCGTGAGTGTGGAGGCGGTGCAGGACATGGAGACGGTGATGGAGGAAGTGTTCACGGCGGCATCAGCTCTGAAGAGAGCTTACGTGTTGCTTCAGGAAGCGCACTCGCCTTGGGATCCGGAGAAGATGCACGACGCTGACATGGCGATGGTGGCTGAGCTGAGAAGGATCGGCTCGCTGAGGGAGAGGTTCAGGAGGATGCGAGGCAGCGGAGGCGGCGGCGGCCGGAGGAAGAACGACAGCGGCAGGGGAATGCTGAGAGAGGCGGTGGCGCCGTACGAAGCCGTCGTGAAGGAGCTTAAGAAAGAAGTGAAGGCTAAAGACACTGAGATCGAGAATCTGAAGGAGAAAGTCAAAATGACAACTTCCATGGCTAACGGTAACGGCGGCAAGAAACACCGTCTGCTCTCAAGCCGGAAAGTTAACTGCAGCACTCAAGGTCAAAATCCCTAGCACTCTGTTTACTCTGTTTCTGTTTGGAATTAGCTCTAAAACGTTATTAACTTTGTGAACAGTTGCTGTATCTCCGGTGCCGGAGTTATTCGAGATGACGATGATTCAGGTGAAAGAAGCATCAAAGACCTTCACAGGGGTACTACTGTCTCTAATGCGAGCTGCGCGTTGGGACATTGCAGCTGCTGTTCGCTCCATCGAAGCCGCTTCAGCTGCATCGGACGGCATGGCAGCGTCAGCGTTAGCATCCTCTGTTCAGTCCTCTGTCCCGAACCAGCACGCGAAGTTCGCTCTCGAGTCTTACATCTGCCGGAAGATCTTCCAAGGATTCGATCACGAGACGTTCTACATGGACGGAAGCCTGTCTTCTCTTATCAACCCTGATCAGTACCGTCGTGACTGCTTCGCACAGTACAAAGACATGAAAGCAATGGATCCAATGGAGCTGCTAGGGATCTTACCGACTTGCCATTTTGGTAAGTTCTGTTCGAAGAAGTACCTTTCGATCATTCACCACAAGATGGAAGAGTCGTTGTTCGGGGACTCGGAGCAGCGGGAGCTGGTTATTGCTGGTAACCACCCGAGGAGTCAGTTCTATGGAGAGTTCTTGGGGTTGGCCAAAGCGGTGTGGCTGCTTCATCTCTTGGCCTTCTCGCTGGATCCATCACCGAGTCACTTTGAAGCAAACCGAGGAGCGGAGTTTCACTCTCAGTATATGGAGAGCGTGGTGAGGTTCTCGGACGGCCGTGTTCCGGCGGGTCAGGTAGTCGGGTTTCCTGTTTGTCCAGGGTTCAAGCTTAGCCATGAAGGGAAAGGATCAATCATCAAATCTAGAGTCTACTTGGTTCCAAGGGCTTAAACGGGTGGTTTCATTGTAATCCTAATGTCAGTGTGGATTAGTGTCATGTCCTGTGCTTTTAAGACGATCTAGCTTTGGAAAGATCTTGAAATAAAGAATCCGTTTATATAAAACAGAGTTTCTGAAAAGATAATATGTTTCTATATTAATCTAAATGAGAAATCTCATAAGATAAAAGTATAGATACTCTTAACAATTCGAGGTTTTAATAGGCATTATGTAATAAGGTATGGTTTTACGAGGAGGGTTCGG